CTGGGTGGCCCTGCTTGAGCAGGGTCTTGGACAAAAGGACATCCAGAGGTCCCTTCCAACCTCAACTGTTCTGTGCTTAGAAGGTCACAACCTGTCCCTTAAGATAAGTTCTCTGCCATAGCAATTCATGCCTTGTTACCTTGCAACTGAGCCAACATGCTCCTTGCAAACATCTGTTCAAGGTAACCCAGAAGCTCCAGTAAATGCAATGACTGTGTTGCTTGTTTAGCAATGGTTCTTGATGAGAGCTTGTTGCACACCTTCTTGGGGGTCTGCACAAGACCATGCTCAAGGTACAGATCAATGTACTAACTTAAAGTAGTGATATTTAAGTAACTTGGAGCCTGGAGACTTAAGAACTCTTCTCTTTGCGTTGTGGTATAATGACTGCATGAAACTGGATGCTGCATGTCGCCAAGCCACAGTGTGTGCTCAGGACGTGGCAGTTCGTAGAGAAGGTTCTTAACCTTGCTTTCCAGGGCACAAGTGTAACACATCCTCAAGTCATATGGCAGAGCTTTTTTTTTCTTTTTTCCTAATAGGCCTATTTTGGGAAAATGGGCTAGAGAGTCCTAGATTAGCTTTAGTATTTTGGACACTAGTCCTACTTCTGTGCATGCACCCAGATGAATTTATCTTTAAGTTTTGATGCAAACGCGGTACCTGGAGTTTTAAAAGCACTGGGTAAACAACAGCCTTGTCTGAACATCTCCCAAGAATAAAGGACTCCAAGCTGCCAAAGGAAAGCTTAACAGGAGCTACTGTGTGGAATCTGAAGCCAGACACATTCAAAGTAGAAATCAAGTACAAATTTGTAATGGAGAGGGTACTTAACCACTGGAATGAACTAGAATGGATGGATCCTTGGTCTCTTGCTGTTTTTGAGGCAAGATGTCTTCTGGACTTAAGTTAAGCCAGGTAGCAGGTTTGTTTTACTTTATGGTGGCCTCAGTATAGAGAAGGTGAAGTGGGTGAAATATAACAGCCCATGTTTATAGACACATGCACGCAGAGTCCAGCCAGAAGACCTAATGATTCCTACAGACCTTAAGCTGTACATTGAGTAAAAGATTTAAATTTTGAAATTTTCTGTGACTTCTAGGAGAGGATTGGGTTTTAATTATGCATGAGGTGGAGAATCTGCCTTTATTGCAAATTCAGCAGTGGTAGAACTTCATTCTCAGGGCTGAATTTCTTCACCATCCAATGCACCAGCTTTATCAGCAAGCTGAAACTTGGTTCTTCTGCATTTCAATAGCTGGTACGGTAATAGTCCTGTTGTAGTAGTGGGGCCTATGTCCTCAGCAGATACCATGTTCAACCACTGATACTATCCTATGTACTATCCTTAAGCCTCTCTGCTCATGTTTTAGTTCTGACAAAATGGTGATGTTTCTCTTTCCCAGGGATAAAAGCTTTTAATTTGTTATTTGTAAAGCCCTTTTTAAGAACTTACCAAGGAAGGTATTGGTGAAATACAAAGTAATGGCATTATTTTTTTTACTATGTGACTCACTCAGAAATTAAAAGGGAAAATTTATTTCTCTTCCAAATAATTGATACCAACCTCATCTTTACCAAGTGACTTCCTCCTTGCTTCTGCAGGCTGTTGTGGATCAGGGTGAACTATACTTCAAAACATTTAATTGCATACAGTGAGAAATGAAGAAAACTGAAGTGGATCCCAAGAATGTATTAAAAATCTGAACTAAAATGAGAATGATTTCATGTCAAGTGAGACAAATGCAGAGTTGATACTCCAGTGCTTCACACTTCCACTTGTCCTTGGCACCGAGAAAATGAGATTTTTAATATCTGAAAAACAGATTGCCATGAAGACTCATCCATTGTAAATTTAAGCTGCCTTTATAGCAACTTAAGCTGGGGACAAGATTGTTCATTACCTCTGATTCTACAGCTGTGGCCATGATTTCCATATTAATATTGAAATTTTTTTATTGTCTGTACCAGAAATAGGAAGGGGAGCTGGTAGTGTTTTCCCTGTGTTAGCAGATAATTTATTTAATGAATAATGCGAAAAGGGCAAAGGTTTGTGAGTTCTTACTTGCATATCAACTATAGATAGTGGTGACACCTGCCTTTGCTGCTGAGATCAAACCTGGTTTGGTGCTTCGGTTTATGCTAAAAGGAGACTGAGGTAAAAAGGGATATTGATTCATGATTTCAGAATCGTGATTTGTTGGTGACAGAAGTTCTGTTGGTTTGGGTTTAATTTTTTTGTCTAAAATTATAGGCGAGGGGTTGCTTGTTTCCCATCTGATGTGCCCTTAAATTACAAAAACATTTAAGCAACCTTTACATGGGTATGGGGGCAGGGAAGGTATTTCTGTGCCACTGAACTTTAGACCAACATCGAGTCAAAGACTATTTGTAACCCTTTTCAATAGCAGCCGTTCTGTTCTGGCATCAGATGTAGGAAGCACTAGCTTCCTCTCCTTTCTGTGTAACTGCATTTTCTTTCACAAGTCCAGCTACCAAGGCAGACCTGAGGATTCCCTGACCTGCCTTACCTCTTGGCTCTGTCTGTGACAGTTCGTGATTGCATTCAGACTGTAATACTGCTGCCTCAACCTTTAACATAGCAAAAATGGAGAATTTCTCTTATTTTCTCATGAACTCTCTCCTCTTTATTTCTGCCGAAATGCTATCATTCCCTGTCTGCACTCACAGATCTGGAGTCTCTTAGAAAAGTTCCTTCTTCCTCCTCTGTTCACATCCCAAATTTCGTCTAGATCCTAGCGGTTCTTCATTTATAACATCTGAGGTCTGTACCATTGTTTTTCTCTTCCATTAGTATCACTAATATCATTGTCCTGCCTTTGTCATCTCACACCTGAGTTACTACAGCCTGTTCTTTGGCTCTCTGTCTCATCTCCTTGTGTTCCAGTTTTAATACTGCGTTTCATGATGATGGAAGGTGATCTTTTCTTTCCTTTGTGGGTTTTGTTCTTTGCTTCTTCCGCACTCCTCACTCTGGAAGCAAATCTTTCTCTGAGAGATCTAGTTCTCTATCATTAGCCTCTCTGACCTTCAGAAAGTTTATATATATTTAAGTCTAATTTGTTCCTCTTTGGAAAACAAAACAGCTTTCTGTATTAAACTCAAAATTTGGCAATAAGTCAACAGCATGATCTCATATTTTTTGTGACTGCTTCAGGGAATATCTTTTAAATGCAGTTGAAGAGATTTAAGAGAGACGTGTTTTGGTATAGAACTATCTTTAAAAGGTTTGGGGTGGCTGACTGCGAGGGACCTGTGTGTTTGTCTTTTCCATCCATCAGTACTTTGGTGTCATGGTTTCTCTCCCAGGCCACAGTACATGACCTGTGACAGTCTGCTGGGACCACTCATCTTGTCTGTGACCTTGCTCTTGGTGACCTCCTTTCCTGGAGAGGAAGAAGGCGACTTGAGACCTAGATCTGGGGCAAATGAATTGTTTTGGAAATGGCAGCAGCCAGCTCTCAGCAGCTCCCTCCCCAAAAACACCCAGCGCTTTCCTTTGCCACATCTGGGTGGGAGCAATCATGTGGGGGCAGGCTTAAAACCCATGGGAAGGTGGGTGGCCAGAAGCTGGCTGCTGCTACTTCTGGAAAAGCTCATTCAGGCCAGCCTTTTGCCCTGAGAGTTCCGAAGTTTTTTTCACAAAGGAAAAAAAGAAAAAAGCCACATAAACAATGGTATAGTCTGTGTATGCCCAGTGGACTCCGTCTGGAATAGGTGCGGTTCGTCCCCAAAGCCTATAGCAGGGGTGGTAGAGGAAGAGTCATGCTGTAGCGTCTGGACCACTCTTAACCACTGAGAAGAGCCAAGATGTGTCCATCCACAAGGCTCGGTTGCTAGTATTACAGACATCTCTTTATGGAGCAGAGTAAATCATCCCATGCAAATCCCTGTGCTACTCTACCCTCTTGTTTTCTATTCCAGCTTAGATACGCCTATAGCCTGAAATGTAAATATTCTCTCTAGTTCTTTCTGCATCTGCCTGGATATAATAGCCTGCCTTTCTCTTTCCCATTGGTTGATAGTTTGACTTTTGAAGCACTTTCAGTCTGTGTTAGTTTGTGGAGAAAGACATCAGCAGTGATAGCTAAAGAAAATTCTATTAGGTCATTCCTTTTCAGAACATAGTACCTTGTCTTCTAAGTTCTTTGCGGATGTTAGCCAAATAATCCTTTTAATAGCTTTTGTGAGTTAAAAGGGTAGGTAACTGTCATAAGGCTAAATGATTGCATAGATTAATTTACTTGTGGCCAAAAGAAATCAATTGTAATTTAAATTTTTGTCGCTGGACTGATTACACTACCAGACATCAGCTTTCTCCTTAGGAATCTACCATGTGCATTTAAGTATATGTCTGTGATTATATATGGGTCTGAATTAGTTACAGATTATCCACAGTAATGTCATTGAACATTGCCAGTTTTTAACCTATGGGCGTGCACAAGCTCAGAATACTCAGCTGGTTGGCCTTCTTTGGATCTGTAAAGTATCCATTTATAACTTGAGTCGTTATAATTCCTAGGCTGTTTGGATATAAAAGATTATTTACCAGACTTTAAGACTATGGGTCCATTGCAAACTATGTCAAAGCTCCTGCTGAAGGCAAGGGCAAGAAAGAGGGTGAAGCTCTAACAACCCATTTAAAAAATAAAGATTGAAAGATTATATAAGAAAATTCAGTGGTTCCAGGGAGCATTTTTCTTAACCATGGTTATATTTAGTGATTGGTATACATTCTACTGCCTTTCAGCAGAGGGATGTATTGGGTGATTGAGAAGAATCCTTAAGGGGCCTGTCCTTGTTTGGTTTTTTGTTTAACGAGAAGTGATTTGGTGCTGCTGCCTGGTGAAACTGCCGTAAGGTTGCCCTCTGTAAGCTGGTTGTATAATTGTATACCAGATAACAAGAAGTCAGAATGTATTTCCCTTTCACAGAAATCTCTAACAGTTTTGTATATTTTAATTGTGTCTTACAGAATGGTGAATAACACTGAAGACCCTCAAAAGGCTTTGTAACGTCCCATCCCCATGTAAAGTATGCTCAGAACTTTTCCAGTAGTGTAAGTACAAGCTAAAAAAAACCCCACAAAAATTAAGAGTTATATGGTGGGTTTTTTTTCTTTTAATTTGTCTAAAAATTGCAAAGAAATGGTTACAATGATTATCAGCAGCTGGCCAAATTGGAGAGTTCCACTGGTTTGGTATTTCCTAGACATTTAAACCAGGGAACAGTAGCATTTAATTCCTCCTTTGGTCTGGCTGATATGTTATTTCTACTACTTTTCTGTCACTTGAAGAGAAGGAAAATCATGCAGTTCTTAGAAACTCAGCCTTGATCAGAGAAAAGGTAGTGTTAAAAGAGAGATCTCCATACATCTACTAAACGTACTAGAGGGATACCAGAGCTGTGCTAGAGAGTTTAGCACCACTACAGGCTTGCTGAAAGGGGATGAGTACACCATTAATATAAGTAGTATAGAGCAAAGGCAGAATACCTAGGGCACCTAACCTAAGACTGGAATTGGATGTGTTGGTCTAAGCAACCACTGCTGTATCTTGAATCCCAGTATGAATTGAATTTGTCTGAATCTCATCCTTGAATTTGAGCCTATTAGTTTGTTCTTTTAAATGACTTCTGTCATGAATCTTCAATGTAATTGGTATCCATGCTGTTTCTTCAATAAATAAGCAAATGTATTCAAAGTTTGAAGCTTGTCAGGCTGAAAGGAAAGGCTTGACCTGTACTGTGCTGTCATCCGTATCTCTCACTGGCCAGTTCTCTATCACTGTTCCCCATACCTCTTTTATAGGCATGACCAAATGCTTGTCCACTGGCAATCAGACTCTTGAGATACTTTGACCTCTTGACATCTGATTGTACCTTCTGTCAGACTGAGTTGGAAAGAGAAATCCTGTCTGCAGAATAGGTAGCAAGAAACTGGGCTGCTGTGAATGCAGTCAGATTCTCCCAGATGGATTATTTCAAGGATGAAGATTATTCATCTAGCACATGGACATTCATAGTGCAAGTGGCAGTGCAGTCACAGACTTCTGTAGAGGGAGTCACAGCAAAAAGTAACGACTGCCAGGGATTTCGTGTTGGAAACTGAAGTACCAATGTATTTCAAAAAGACTTCTTGATACAACCATTAATTAGTTATTTTCTATTGCTGGTGGCCTAGTCTTCTATTCAAAGCTAGTGGTTTCCTACTTGGTTGCTAGTCCCCTGAGCAACCTCCTCTTCTTTCTTGTAGCTGAAAATATGTTGGATTTCAGTATTAAAATCACCACTTGAAATTGTAAAGATCTAGCGCACAGCAGGAAAGAAGTCTGAAGGTAGGGCCACACTGCCCTGTGCATCTTTATTATACTGGTAATTCAGAGTTTGCAGAGTGATCTTAGAGCTCCTCTGTGCTTTGTGTGAGCACAAGGACAGTCTGTCAGCTTTAACTTTGAATCAGACTTTTAACACAAGTTTCCAAACTTTGAATTATATAGTTTTAATTTCCTGTGCTTTAGCTAGATTTCAGTTATGTTCTGCCCCTGTGCAGTTTTAGTTGGATATCATGTTGTTCTGTTGCTTTCTGGAATCGTTGTTGCACATTGATGTGCCTTGTTAATCAGCTACCACCCTCCATCAGAGAAGTAGCAGCTTTTTCAATTTAGTCCAGTATATGTGCAGTTAATATGGTCATCGAGAGAGCAATATAAGTATAGGTGAATAATTTTTGACTGAGTGAAAGCTGGGGTGGACCTATTTGGAGGGGATTAGAGAGTATTAAATTAGATGAAATGGGCCAAGATGACCCATTCGGGTATAAAGTTTCCAGATTAAACCATAGATATCTTTTTAAAAGGATAAGTGGGCATCGTGGTTTCGGAAGGAGAAAGAAGCAAACAGAGTCTTTAAAAAAAAAAAAAGGTTTTAAATACTGAATAAGATTAAAATTGAACAGTCTTAAAACTATCATGGTTAGAGAGTAGTTTGGTTACTCCTACCATGGGGCAGCATCTTCTCTCAGCAGAGCAAAGTAGTCAGCTGGCTGCAGTTACCATTTCACCTACCTAATTTTTATCCACAGTTGGATGAGAGTCAGTACTCAAGAGGAATTTGAGGCATGGTGCGAACACAAGACTCTTGATTTTGGTCTCACAAGAATTAGTAATTTATCTGAAACTAAGGCCTTCTGTAGTCAATGCAAGTATATCTCTGTTGGGTTCTCCGTACATATAATGGGAGTAATTACTTGTACTTCACAGGCTCTTGGTGGTATTGATTAATTAATATGTGTTAATAGTGATATATGACCATCAGTATTTCTGTTGCATGTTTCAAACTATCTCTCAAAATACAATTTCTGATAGAACTAGACAGTTTCAACATCATCACTTAAAAGTTTACCTGAATTATCAGGCTAGTGCTTCTGAATCTAACTGCCAACAATGACAGAGCTGTCTTGGGAGTGAGTAAAAGCCTGCTGAGCGGAAAGAAAATAAGTATGAGTAATGCAGATGAAGAAGAACTAGATTGAAGCCTTGTCATCATTTAGGAAAAACAACAGAAAGAAAGGAACAAGTATGTGAATGATACCAAAGTCAGCATGCATTGAAGAACAGACGGTGAAGTTACAGTGGCTTAGAAAGTCACCCACGGCTGAGCTGTGTTAACTATCCAGCTTCCTTGAAATGTGACACAAAACACGTTAATTAAACCTGGGTGAAAGAGGACTCAGCTAATTTGCTCTTTTTGTCTTCAGTGACAAGGTATCGTGTAAGTAGTTGGTGGCTGAAGGAACGTTCAGTTGGCATTTTAAGCTTCCTTAACTGAAACAATGTCTTGTCTGAGCCCTTAGTTTTACTTTAAGATAAACCAGAGGAGTTAATTCATGATTTCACAGGCAGCTAAGCCACTCTGAAAGGAACCTAAAAGAAATCTTGTTTCATGTGTGCCTCTTATGCCTACTTCTGCTTTTGGCCAAATTGGTTTGTCCTCATCTGTTGAGTTGATAAGAGCAATCATCAGAGCCTTCTCTAAGCTAATTCAGCTTGATAACCCAGGCAGAAACTGGCTATGGGTGGGTTGGTTTGTTGATTGATAGATTTTCCTGCTGGGTTAGTGAACTGAACTGGTCTGTGGAGATTGCCACCAAGTCCTGGAGCTATGCAGAAGGGCAGAAGAGCAGGTCGTAGGTCAGTTCACCCTCTCATGTATCTGTAACCTCAGGACTTGTATCTGTAGGTGTTCTCCTCCTGCTCCGAGCAGGACACACAAAGGTTTGGACTTGCCCTGAGAATATAGACTGGGTCTTCTGTATGTCATGCAAGAGGAAATTTCCTGAGTTCAGGTCTGGGCTACACAAAGAGATGTTTGTTGTTTTAAGAGCATTAATTAGGATATGTGTTTCTTTTTGAAATGCTTTTAAATAAAATAAAACTCTAATATGGATGCAACTGTGGCCAAAAGCCCATGTTTTTGCCATTGTGATTTAGGTTCTTCAAGAAGCCCCTGTTACCTATTCCTGAGTTGTTCTCCAAGTATAATCTCTGTCTTCACTAAGACTGTGCCAGTAAAACTACACTTGCAAACTGTTTTCTAGCAGAAGAAAATTTGCTTTGTAGTTAAGCACAAAATCAGGGAAAGGTAAATTTTAGTTATTTGTTGGGTTTGGATTTTAGTTTTCTGAAGTAAAAAATTTCTCTTTAAGAGAGTGTGTTGATTGTTTCTGCTGGTGATAGATCCTGAGGGAGAATGAAGGTGCCTGAAATACTTCAGAATGTCTCTTTTTCTTTACGTGTGGAATTGAGGTGGTGGAAATCCTGGTGATGGCATTCCTTGAAGCTTGTCCTACACCTTGTCATATCTGATGCTATAGACGGACTCTGTAGGATGGCTGTATGTGTGGTGAGAAAACACTCAAAGTTTGGCCAGGTACTTGGTCTGCCTTCTTGCAGAATGCTTGTGTGACTTTGAACAAGTCATTTTGATTTGTCTGAAGGCTAGCCCGTTTCTGTGAGCTCTTGGTATCAAAAATTAGCATAGTTTTCCTTCCCTGCCTCACAGGGATATTCTATAGACAGATGTGTTTCAAGTATTTAGGTACTCCAGCTAGCAGAATTAATAGAGAAGAATTCTGAGATTCTGTCTGGATTTTAATAAAGGATTGGTCAAATTCTGAAGTGAACTGTAAGAGGAAGAAGACAACAGTATACCTATCCTTGTAATCTTGACAGCTGAAAATACGTGACTTGCCAGTCTAGTGTCTAGGTTGAGCCATGTCTCAGTTTTATTGGCACGGTGACTCTGTTTATGTGGGTTAAAGACACTTATTTCGGTGTGTTGTTGAGATTTGCTTAGCTATGTAACTCAAGTGCACAAGTCCTGCCCTGATTCTGTTACGGAGCTTACATATCCAAAGTCTAGTCTTTGGTTCCGAAATCCAAGAGCTCCTCCTTTGCTCTTGGCACAGGTTTGGGCTTTGGGCCCTGGTTCAGCACTCAGCTGCCACTATAGCTTTTTCTCTCTATTTTTTAGTCCTTCTGACCCCTCCTTCTGCCCTTGAATCCAGCCTCAAAGTTTGAATTCCTGCCTCGTTGCTGTAGAATTGCAACAACGGTAGGAAACCCAGATTTTAGAAGTAGGGAAGGTTAGGGTTAGACAGATAAGGTGTCAGTGTGAATCAGTCTGTGCCTTGAGTAGAATTCAGAAGTATCTGGCTCCCAGCCCTGTGCTTAGTCAGAGGTCAGTCCCTTTTGTAAGACTTGGATTATGATAATAATTGGCATTTATATTATATTTTTGCCTTGTAAGATCGATCTCAAGTTCTCTCTCTCTCTCTCTTTCCCAAAGAGGTAAAGCGGATAGTATAAAGCAGAGTAAGTTACTCACCCAAGTGGCATCAGTGGCAAAACTGCTAGGGTTTGCTTGCTGCCAGTGTGTCAGCATCCAGTAAAAAATAGTTTATCGGCAGTGAAGAATTTCAAAGACCGAGTGGAAAAACAGCTTATGTAGCAGTAGTGAATCTGGGTTTGGGGCTCTTTAACTAGCTGAGAAACTTGAAGC